GTGAGGGGATGGGAAGATTGTAGCTGTGTTCAAATGTTTGAAGGGCTATAATGGAGAAGAGGGATTTGCTCTGCTTGACCCCGGAAAGCAGAACTAAGAGCCTTGGGTGAAAGTCACAATCAATCACTCAAGTATTTATGGAGCGCTTACTTTGTGCTGGGCACTGTTAGGTACTAGGGATAAAAAGAGACACATCTATGAAAGCAAAACCTTTCCAACAATTGGAGCCATCCTCAGGTAAAAAGGGCTCCTTTGGGAAGTGGTGGCTTCCCATTCATTGGAGATTTTCACATAAAGATAGAATGAGAGGGATTTTTTTGGGGGGAGGGTGTATTTGGACTAAATGGCTGCTATGGCCTTTTACAAAAGAAAGTCTGTGAACTTATAAAAATCGTTTTGTAAATCATAAAACAATATAGATAAGAAGTCTTTCCTGATCCTCCTTAAAGGAAAGTGCCTTTTGATTGATGATTATCTCAGTTTTTCCCCACTATCTGTATCTTTTGTTGTTGACCTTATTGTCTGTGAGTTTTTTGAGAGCAGGGACTATTTTGTGCCTTTCTTTGTATCCCTAGCATTTAGCAGGGTCCCTGGGACAGAGTAGGCACTTGAAATGCTTGTTGTCTGTATGACTAGTATTATTATTTAAAATAGAGGATAACATATTGAAAGTCCCTTGTAAACCATAAAGCAGTCTATTCAGGTCAGCTACTATTATCATGTTATAGGGATATTAGAAGGAGATTGGTGAGATTCATGTATATAAAAGCATTCTGAACACTATAGGGCACTCTACAAATATAAAGTGATATTATTATTGGCTTTCTTCTAAAATGATGGTATCTAAAATTCATTTTAACTCTAACATTTTATGTTTAATGTAATAACAATGATCACAGGAGGAAGAGATAATAAAAAAAAGAATAATTAGAACTATATCAGAAAGAAAACCCATTAATATAAAAGGTTATAGTGGATGAATGAGAAATATAATCCCATAATAAAAACATATAGTCTCTTTACTTAACCCCTCCCTCCCCCCAAAAAACCCCTCCAAACCCAAACCAAACCTCCCATAGGATCATATATATAAATTGTACTGTAGTTTGTTTGTCAGAGACAATGTCAACAGAGAGCTGATCTCTGACACATACAGGCTGTACAGCTAAGGATATATCATTTAAATTCTTAGTGCCCCCCAGGCAACATTCTAAGACTAACACTTGCAGATTAGGTTTTGATGTGTCTTGGTAGGTAGTACCTCACTGGAAGGTCTCTATACTGATGAAATCACAGGTCCAGTAAAACCATTTCATATATACATATACATATACATACATACATACATACATACATACATACATACATATATACATATATACATATATACATATACATATACATATACATATATATATATATATATACACACACACATACATGTGTATATATATTTGTCTTCAAGAAATGGTTAAATAATATTCAGCACTAATATGAACCTTACCAGCATTTCATTCTGGTCTCCACAATTGGAAAAGAATATGAAGAATTTGGAAAGGACATGTGAGTCATAAATCCACTAGAAAAGGAGATGAATCCAACAAGTGTGTATTGTTGAAAAATTAAAGGGGTCACATCCCAAGGAGCATTAAAAATAAGGAGTATCCTAATGATAGTCTTCAAATATGTGAATGCTCATTAAAAAGAGGATGGCTTACTTGACTGAACTCAGTTTCCCTTTCTACCAGTTTCCTGGTAATAAGGCATAACAGATATTCTGGGTAACACTGGAAGGAGTGACAGTAAACAAAAGGTCTGATTCTTAGTTTATGAGATCTTGTTTCTGGAAAGGTTTGGACTCTCTGACTTTAAAAGTCCTATCAAACTCAGAGGTTCTTTGAATTCTGAGACTGGATGGGTAGATCTAAAGGATCTCTTGGGGACTTACTCATTTTAGCAAACTGTGTGTAAAGTACTGTGCTAGGTACTCTGAAAGAGACAACAGTTAGATAACTAACATAATCCTTCTCTTACTTTAAGCTCATAGTCTTCCCAAGGGGATAAAATGCAAACACAAATAGCTACAATGTTAATGTAACTGAGTTATATAATTAGAATTATTAAAGAGATACAAAGTAAACTTCTTTGTGAGTCAACATCTTTGTGAGTTAATAAAGGTCATCACTAATAGGAGAAGTTTCATGGAAGAAACCGTGTTCGAGTTGGATTTTAAAGAATGTGTAGGAACTAACTCAATATGGGATTTAGAGATAAAATGTTCGCAAGGGATACGAATTTTAGTTTGTTTTTATATCTCTATGTACATTGTAACCTAGCACATAGTAGGTCCTTATTAAATACTTGTTGATTGTTTAATTGATTGAGATGGAAGGAACCTTAAGACCTGTAGATCTCATTTTGCAGAGGAAATAAATGAGGCCTAGAGAAGTGACTTGCTCAAAGTCACAACAGGTCTGAGATTTGAACTCAGCTCCTCTAACTTTAAATCCATTCCTTGTAATGCCTTATCCAAGTGAAGAAGTGAGAGAGGAAATTCCTGACATTGAATTGTAGTTGTTCAGTTGTGCCCAACTCTTCTTTGTGACCCCATGGACCATACTGTTCATGGGATTTTCTTGGCAAAGATACTGGTGTGGATTTCCATTTCCTTCTCCAGTGGATTAAGGCAAACAGACTTGCCCCAGGATCACACAGCTAGCAAGTATATGAGGCTGGATTTAGGTCTTCCTGACTCAAGGCTCAGCTCTCTATCCATTGAGTCATCTAGCTGCCTCCTTATAGACATATTGAATATCTTATTATGATATTTAGGACTTACAAAGTACTTCATAAACATTATTTTATTTTATTTCCACAACAACCCTTAGGGGTAGGTGCTATTATTATCCCCATTTTTCAGATGAGGAAACTAAGGCATATAGAGGTTAAATAACTTTAACTGGATTTTAATTTGGGTCTTCCTGACTCCAGGCTCAGCACTAAATCCACTGGGCTACCTACCTGCCACATAGATCTCTATATAGCTTGTCTTTTCCATTAGAATTTGAGGTAGGCTGTGCAAGTCACTTAACTTCTGTTTGCCTTAGTTTCCTCATCTGTGAAAAAAGAATCTTTGTGAACCTTGAAGTTCTATATATTATGAATTATTATTATAATATTCTTGGGATTACCTCAGGAAACATCTCTTTCTCTGTAATGATACGGTATTACTGACAATGTCACAGATTGTGCCAGAGTATCAAAATCAAAATTCCAAAACAGGTAAGTGACTTTACAACTTACAAATAAGCAAATAAATAAAGCATTTTACAATCGTTACCAGACCCTGAAATCCCCATCTGCAGACTTTTGCAGCTGCTAATTGTGAATAATTACCCTAATTATCTACATGCATATAGTGATGAGTGCTGATATTCGTAATTTCTAAAAAGCCTCTTTTTTCCCCCCCTGAGGTGGATGTTAGCCCAGGTTTTGGTATGTAAGGAAGTTATAGATTCATAACACTTAGATCTGGAAGGAGATGTTGGGCATGATCTATTCCAACTCCCATGTTATATAAGTGAGGAAACTGAGATGCAAAGAAAAGTGACTTGCCCAAAGTCACACAGATACTAAGGAATAGATATAGCTTTCAATTTAAAGTCTTCTAACTATAATTTCCCAGAGAGGAAAGGCTCTATTGAGCGCTAAAAGCTACATTCCCCTCAGGGAACCTACTTCAAACCAAAAAACTCCAAAATAATAAAACAAACCACAATCCTTCTAAACTGAGAGAAGAAAAATAAACCAGGAATGAGATTTTTTTTTAAATCAACACTCTTTTCTTCCCAAAGCTTATCTGAGAACAATGTGTTATTTCTATTAAATATTTGAGGTCAAGCCCCTGTAGACAGATGTCTTAGGGATTACTTGTCTGAGAGTTTTGCCCAGCACCAAGTACACAGTGGCGAAATAGTTAATCTAGGAGAGAAGTTCTCAACTTTTTTGGAGTCTGGATCCCTTTATGCTCTTAAAAATTATTGAAGACATCAAAGAGCTTTTGTTTGATGTGATTTATGTCTATAGATATGTGTTAGAAATTAAAATGGATACATTTAAGTCTGTTCATTAATTTATTAAGCCATTTAAAATAACAAGAATATACTTATTACATATAAACATGAATAATATATTTTATGAAAAATAACTACATTTTCCAAGATTAAAAAATTACTGAAAAGAGTGATATTGTTTTGCATATTTTTTACAAATCTCTATGTCTAGTTTAATAGAAGATAAGTGGATTCTCATATCTGCTTCTACATTCAATCTGTTGGGATAAATTGGTTGATGTATATGAAGAAAATCTGGCCTTGCATAGATATATAGTTGGAAATGGAGTAGTATTTAATAAGCAGATAACATCTTGTTATTATTACAAAAAGTATTCTGACCTCAAAGAGCCCCTGAAAAGGGTCTCGAGGACCCTCAGAGGTATGTGTATCACACTCTGGAAATCTCTTGTCTAGAGTTTGGACTTTTTTTCTGGGAGATGTCTAGTGACCAATAATCTATATCAAGAAAATCTTTTAAAGACCCCACAGGTAGTTGTCAACAATTTTGGGTGATATAAAAGAGTCAACATACTTCCTTCCCTTCATTGCTGAGGTGGGGGACTATTGGTATGGAATATTGCATATATTGTTAAATACAGTAGATATGTTGACTGGTTTTGCTGTAGAGTGTTTTTCTCATCGATAAATCTTTTTTTTTTTAACAAGAGAAAGCTTAGTGGGTTGTAAAGTTAAAGTGGATATACTTAGAAATGAATATGTTGTCAAAACAAAAGTGTCAACAACAACAAAAAAGAAATAAAGCATACCAAAAAAAATATCAAGCTTACCAAAGGGCTAGAAAAGACTCTGGGAGTATTTGAAGGGAATATCTAATTCATTATTTTTTACATAATGACTTACTAGCTTTTTACCATGATTCTTCAGATAGAAAATGAAGAAATTGTGATTTAACGGGAAGAGTACTAGATCCAGAGGACCTAGATTTGAATCCTGCCTCTGACACTTATGACTTAGGGGATCTTGGGTAAGTAATGTCTCATCTCTGGGCCTCAATTTCTACATGTATGACTCAGATCAACAAGCATTTATTAAGTAGCTACTATAGATGTGAAATACTGTATTAGGTGTCATATATCTGAAGACCAAAATGAAATGTCTCTTCTCTAAAGGATTTTGTATTTGACTGGCATGTAAAGCAAAGAAGTTGGAATAGATGCTCTCTAAGGCTTCCATTTTTATGATTTTAGTAATAATACTCCCATACACATTCCCCACTCCTCTCTCTTCCTCTATTCCTTCATTTATAATCCCCTCCCCCTCTTTGCCAAAGACCTCTTGCTCTCTCCAGTGTTTTGCCAACAAAACTGTTTGAACTCCTCCAAAATGAGTTGTATGAAGTTCAAAGGTGCTCATTTCAATTCAATTTAATTCAAATCATTCAGCATTCGTTAAGCATGAGATTATGTGCCAGGTACTATATTAGGCCAAGAATACAAATACAAAAAAAAAAATGAAGCATTCCTGTCATAAACGAGCTTACATTGTCCTGGGAGGAAACAATATGTACACAGATAAGTCTATATGAAATAGGTACAAAGTGAATAAAAAATAACTTTGGTAGAGGGAGAAAAGTACTAACAATTGGGAGAAATAGGAAAGGCTTTTGGTAGGAGATTGAACTTGAGGTTAGCCTTGGAAACTAGGGGTTTGAAGAGTGAAAAGGAAGAAGGAAGACATTCTAGACATGATGGGTAGCCTGTACAGAGGCATAGATAGGAGAGATAGAATGCCACATGTGAGGAACAAGGAGGTGAGTTTGGCTGGAACATAAATGATGTGAGGTGGAGCAGTATAATTAGCTTGGAAAGACAGAGGTGGAGCCAGACTGTGAGAGGTTTTAAATGACAAATGGGAGAGGCTGTATTTATTCCTAGAAGCAGTAGGGAGCCACTGAAGCTTCTGGTGCATGGAAGTGAGATGGCCAGAACTGTTTTAAGAATATTAATTTGACAGCTGTGTGGAGGATGAACTGGAGGTGGGAGAGGCAAGTTATAGGGATACTCATTAGGAGGATATTGAAGTATGTCCCTCCCAGGGAAATTTTAATTTAAATAATGTTTTTGTTTGACTTAAGCCTAAGAAGTTTAGCTAATGATGGAACCTCAAGATCCTATAATCTTGGTGGTGGGTGGGAAGTTAGAGGATTCTCTCCCCTCTCCCTCTCTTCCTTCCTTCCTTCCTTCCTTCCTTCCTTCCTTCCTTCCTTCCTTCCTTCCTTCCTTCCTTCCTTCCTTCCTTCCTTCCTTCCTTCCTTCCTTCCTTCCTTCCTTCCTTCCTCCCTCCCTCCCTCCCTCCCTTCCTTCCTTCCTTCCTTCCTTCCTTCCTTCCTTCCTTCCTTCCTTCCTTCCTTCCTTCCTTCCTTCCTTCCTTCCTTCCTTCCTTCCTTCCTTCCTTCCTCAATAACACTGCAAAGATGACTCCTGTATTTTCAAGGCCTGCTTTGCTTCCATATTAACCTTTAGTACTTCTCTATTTAAATAGGAAGCTCTAATTGATCTGCAACAAATGGACCTACCCTAAAGCACATAATCTTTGGTCTGTACATATTTCAGTGTTTTGAATTTCCAGTGATCACTAATTTAATCAGTGTGGGCAATTCCCTTCACCACTAATGCAGGTCACAAACCCTCTATTATGCTTGAGTAGCTGTGAGGTTTTTTTTGTCTATAGAAACAAAAACAAAACAAATGACACCCTCCCCCCCCACCATATTCAGTCTTCTGGTAATGAGTCTCACTGAATTTGTCTAGGCTGTTTCTTGGCCAAGAGGCACACATACCATTGGTAGCTGAACATAAAGGATTTCAAACATGGTAGAATCTGCCAGAGCTTGTGTGCTGCTGGCCTAGAATCTGAGAACTGAAGGTCTCACCTTGACACCACAATGAGCCATTAAAGAGTTTGAGAGGAGGTTAGCCTGCATAGAATATTAATATTTAGTCTTGTCTATTTATTTTCTCCTAAGTGGTCTCCCTGCCTCTGAGGCAACCTATATTCTAGTTCAGAAATTCATTGTCTTTCCTGTGGTCCACTTTAATTGTTTAACTGGTCTCTTTAACTCTAATCTCTTTGCCCTCATTTGAAGGGCTATCCCTCAAAAGATGGAGTAGATTTGTTCTGTTTGGTGCTGGAGGATAAGAACTAAGAACAGTGTGTGAAAGTAACAAAAAATCAAATAGAAGTTTGTTACAGGGAAAATCTTCCTAACAATTGGAGTTACCCCAAAATGGAATTGTTTGATTCAGAAGGCATTCAGAAGGTCTTCCAAGGCTTGGCTACTTGCTGGATGAGTTTTAGGAGGGATTATTATTCAGTTTGGGATTGGATTAGATATTGCTGGGGTCCCTTCCAATTCTCAGATTCTAAGTGAGTTGTTAATCTAAATCATCACCTCCAGAATAGTCTACCTGCTCCGTACATAAACCTGCCTTGCTTGAAACTCTTCAGTGGCTCCCCATTACCGAAAAAAATCTGAGCTCAATTATTTAGTTATCAGTTTAAAGAACTGGACACAAGGCTGAATGTAGTCAGTGGACCTGGGGTCCAGTACTAGCTTTATTACCACTTACTATCTTATTGATCTCAGAAAACCTTCACCTCTCTGGACTTTGGTTCAGTGAAATAAGAGGGTAAGATAAAATGATTTCTCTTGACCTCTCTTTAAATACCATGATACTATGGCTTTTCGAGCCTTATTTCCTTTGACTTTTCTAGGTTTCATGCTATTCTAAGTAACCTTTGCGCTCTTTTCCCTCTGCCTTAGCTCACGGTCTCCTTTCTTTCCCTCACCTTCACCTGCCTAAATTCCTTCCAGCCCTCGAAGGTGCCTCTCAAATGCTGCATCCTTTTGAAGCCTTTTTTGTTCCCCAGAAAGGATCTTTCTTTCCTAAGAATTCCCAAAACACTTTGCACCTGTTTCGTTATATTTTCGCCCACAGTGCTATTATAAGTATTTGTATACGTGTCTCTTCTCAGTCCTACTAGGAGCAGGAGGCAGACTCTGCTTCTCCTCCTTCTTTGTAGTCACACAGAACTTAGCTCAGTAGCTTGTACATAGTGGTTATTCAGTTAATATTTGCTGAATTCAAAATATCTTACACTCATTCAGTGTTTATATTTTGTTGGTTAATTTGATTCAATTCAATTCAACAAACATTAATTAAATAATTACGATGTGCAATATGTTATGCTTTGACCTGGTATATAAAGATAATTTTTTAAAGAAAAGATAATTTTTAAATTCAATGACCTGGCAGTCTGACGTAGGCATAGAGTGAGGAGGATTATAACATTTGTGTTCAGCTAAGTATAAATTGAGGTAACAGGGCAAATTTGATGGACTGGGGATGGAGGAGAGGAACCTTAATGGTGAGGGGGCAGGGGGAATGGTAGGCTTCAAGGAGGAAGTGGCATCTGAGAAGAGCCTTGAATGAAGGGAAGAATAGCTACAGAAGACCTAGAAAACAAAGTTCTCAGACCCAAAGTCATTGACTCTATCAAATGGTTCAGCATCAGAAATGGATGTGATTTTATCAGAAGAAATGACATCAAAGAAACACATATTACCACCTTCTTTGCACTTCACTTTAAGGACCATAAGACCTTTCCATCTGAGTTGTAGCTGAAAACTCTTTTATATGTTGTCCGTCTATTAGAATATCAGCTCTTTAGAAAAAGAGACTATTTTGCTTTTCTGTTGGAATCCCCAGAACTCAGGATGATGCTTTGAATATAGTAAGTCATCATAAACATTTTTTTATTCCTTCATAAAACAGGCAGAGGTGAGAGTGGATTTAAAAGAATAGTTAGAAATGCAATTTGGGTAAAACATACAGGGTATGGGAAATAAGGCCAGAAGTGATAGATGAAGCCAAGTTGTGCACGGCTTTTAAAGCCATACTAAACAGGAATTGTTTCCTTTGTGACTCAGTCATTACTTGGCTACCACTTAAATAAATGCTTTTGCCTTGATCTAGTGAAAATGAGAGGCAGTATGATACAGTGGAAAGAGTACTGAATATATTTTATATGTACCTAGTTATATGTGTATTGTTTTCCCCTGTAAAATGTGATTTCCTTGAGAGTAGGAACTGTTTTTGCCTTTCTTTGTCAACATCCAGAAAGTTTTATTGCGTTAAGGTAAATGGAAGGCAATGTTGGTGATGAGAAGGTCATGAGATGCACAAGTCTTTGGTAGTAAGTGACCACTGCTATTGCTATTTCTGACTCCATTCCTTCTAAGGTCTCCCTGCCATGTCTGATAGTCTGTGCCTACTCTGGTGTTAGAGTTGCCCAGAATTACAAGCTTGTCCTCTTTCATCACATTGATGATGAGGGTCTCCAGGTCTTCATAAAATTTTTCTTTGACCTAGTGCTTAACACTGTGTCTAGTACATAGTAGGTACTTAATAAATGCTTGTTGCCTATCAACACAGAGCTCCTGTTCTAAAATAAGTATCCATAAATATCTTCCAAAGCATGTAAGCATACTCTTGTAGCATAGTGAACTGTTATTATTAGTTAATCATTTTTCTCCTTCTTTAAACTTTTCTTGGCAGAGCTTCAAGAGATGCCAGTACTCTGCATGGTGCTAGTATTGCTATTGCTTTCTTATTCTGTCCCTTCCCATAGAAAAAGGATATTTTTCTAGGAACTTTTATGGAACCCTAGAACCCTAAAGGACATAATAATAGCTGATGTTTCTCTAGCATTCTGTTGATATCAAGGACTTTATACATACCTTTATTGAGAGGCAGCTGAAGTGCAATGGAAAAAAGACTGGAATTATGGTCAGGAGTGACCTGGTTGTGAATTCTGTCTCTAATATTTACTAGTTACGTGACCATGGACAAGCCATTTAATTTCTCTGAATCTCAGTTTCCTCATATATGTGATACAGATCATAATAGCAAGTACCTCATGGTGTTGTTGTAACAAACTGAGGTAATGGATGGTAATTGCAAATCCTTAGGTGGCATTTAAAGACCAACTAGTGTCTTATTTGATTGAAACTACTCCCCATACAGGAATCCCTTTTACACTAACTCATCCCCTGATTGAACACTACTAGTACAGGGAGCTCCCTCCTTTGGGGGAGGGTACTTTCTATTCTTAGAAAGGTTTAACTAATCTAAAATCAACTTGTAGCGTTTACCCAACCATCTATATTCTCTCTCCTAGAGCCACACAGAATTAATGCTCTTTCCATATAACAATATTTGAAGACAACTATTGTGATTCTTCCAAGTCTTTGCTTCTCCAGGTTAATTTTCCCAAGACCTCTCAACTATTTCTAATATAAGGCTCCAAGGCTTCTCATCATATAAGTTATTATTCTCCTTTTTGTACTTTCTTATTTGTTAACAATGTCTCTCTTAAAGGAAGGTGCCCAGAACTGGCCACAGGATTCCAATAGTATATGCTTAACACAAAGTACGTGGGGACTACGTACACCTTTGATCTGGACACTATATTTCTTTTATTGAGGCATAAATGTCACTTCCTTTTAGTAGCCACATCACAGCAATGACATACTGAGCTTGTGGTCATTTAAAACCCTTAAGATTTTTTAATAGACACTGCTGTGAAACTTCAAGGCAGTATTTCCCTCATTCTTTGTTTCTGTAATAGAATGCAAGCTTCTGAGTTCAGGGACTATTTAGTTTTTTGATTTATATCCTCAGTGCTTAGCACATGACTGGGCATTTAGTAGGTGCTTACTGAATGCTTGCTAAATGAAGAAATGAAGGAATTTGAAAATGATTGTTTAAAAATTTAATTCAGGAACTAATTTTTTATCCCTTTTGAAAAGTTAATATCTTCAAATCTGCTTCCTTGACATCCTGGAAGAAGCCCTGAAAGGACAATTTGGCTAGACTTATAGGAGTTCTATCTGAATTTAGACAAAAAGGAGATTTGACTATACTTTTTGAATTATTGTCCTCATTTTGCTTCTTTCAGAATAGGGCCTACTTATAACCACAGAATCACACAATAACATAGATACTAAAGGTGGAGAGGACCTCACAAGATTCAATGAAAATGATATTTTTTTAAAAAGCAGTCTAAAAGTTAGTTTCCTGCCTTAAGGAACACAAAGGATTGTTATCTCTACTTTACATATGAAGCAGTTGAAGCTGGCAAAAGTGAATTGACCAGTGGCAGCCAGGGATACTATAATCACACATTCATTGATTTTAGAATTGAAAGTGACTTTAAAGATTTCTTAGGTTAATCTCCTGACTTTGTATATTGTAGCACTGAGGCCCAGACAGGCAAAGCGTCACAAGTCCAAGGTAAAAAAAACAAAACCAAAAATAAACAAACAAACAAAAAAACTGGTTAATGGCAAAACTGGCAGTAGGATCCAAGTGTTTTACCTCGCAGTGCAGCACTGCATCTATTCCGCCATGTGTCCTTTGCATCTGTTAGAGTAGACAGGCAAAAGGTATACTGCAGCCAACAGAATGATTACATTTAATTTGAGGACTTAGAAAAAAGAACCTCAGAGTAGAGACAGAATCTGTTGGTTTTATACCAAGTGTAATGCGAGCTTTAAGACACTGTAGATAAGAAGATCTTTTTAAAAAATAGAAATTTGGTTATTAAAATGTATCCTTTATACATTTGTATAAATATAGTACCATTGGGCACCTGATAGAAAAGCTAAAAGGAATTCTTAAGTAGGCTTGAACAATTCTGGTTTTTAAAATGAGAAACTCTACTTATCAAATTTAAGCTCTGTCAAATATTTCTCTCCAAAAGCAGTTTTGGACTAGCAATTCATTTTTATCAGTGCCATAATATATATTTTTTACTCTGCTTCAAAGATGTTTCAGTGTTTGTGTGTGTGTGTGTGTGTGTGTGTGTGTGTGTGTGTGTTTTGCATGACTATTTGGGTTGATGCATGTTCCCAATACTATGTGGGAACTAGAGGGCTAACAGATATATGTTGTCAAGTGGTTTGCAAGGTAAGAGGTAGGCACATATATTTTCATATATTTCCATGAAGAGTTTTATTCTAGGACCTAAATAAAATCCTTTTTAAACCAAGAAATTGGTTTCATATTCTGATTTTTATATAACAAAAAGAGTAATATATTTTTCCCATTCAAAAGATTGTAGAACTTGAAATTCTTTAAGATGAAACACTTCCAATTCCTGCTCTGCATCATTAGAATTGTTCAAAAGTAGTATGTACTGCCCATTAGAAGTCAATAAGTTCTCCTCAACTGGGGGGCTCCAAGCTGAGGCTGAATGACTCCATATTCTATAGAGGAGATTTCTTTTCAGATACAAGTTAGATCTAGTGTCTCTTCCAACTCTTGAGATTCCAAAATTCAAACTCCATTAGTCCTTAAAACAAGAAGATCCCTTCCATTAAAGATGCCAGGAAAAATACAGGTTAAGCCAAGGTCACTGAAATTTCCTCCATATGCATGAATTCAATACAACCACTCACTAATATTTCATAGAATCCCAGAATTGAAATGGACCCCAGAGGTCAGCTAACTCCACCCCATATCTAAACCAGAATCCTCTCTGCAACACAGAGAGAAAAGAGGTCATTCCCCAAGGTCTTGAGAATAGTTGCAAAGATTGGTGGATTAATTGACTAATCAATAGAAAGGTGGATTATTCCACCCTCTGAAGGAATGGAGTGAAGGGAGGATGCCTGAAATATTTCCCAATAGGAAAGAGTTTCATTATTCCATTTCTTCTCCTCAAAAGAAAAAAAATAATGATATGGCAAATTTCAAGACCTGCCACTACTTGCAAAAAACAAGACAAATATTTCTGTCATATACAAATGAGACATGGGAAGAGGGAAACTGAATTCATAAAATAAAATAATGCATAGCAGGCATTGATGGTTTGAAAACTTTGAGAATATTAATATAGGGATAAGGTCTGGTTCTGTGATTTTATTGGCATAAAGAACTCCTGGGTGAAGAAACCCTTGCTACCTATGAAAATCAGGGCCTCCCTTGAAACTAGAATCCCTGGAGAATTGAAAGGCTAAATGGCTTCCCCAGGGTCATAAAGACAATATATTTCAGAGGAAGGACTTGAACTCAGGTCTTTCTGGCTTTGAGGATAGCTTTCTATTCACTTCACATCTATAACACTACTGAGGGGTATTAAGTGGAAATCCACAACCTTTTTGTCTGAGGATCATCAGTGGAGCTAGGCACTAATGTAGCCATTGGGGGCTACTGATTAGTGTAAAATAGGGACGCAGGTCCAGCCTCTGTCCTTTGCTCAGAAGAAATGATTCCTAGTTTTCTGGTCAAAAAATTTAAGCTATCTTTATCAGGACACATGGGTTTGAATCTCTGCTCTGCTACTTACCATATTCAGAAAATAATTTACTCTTACTGAGCCTGTTTCCTCATCTATAAAATAAGGTAGCTGGAACAAATTATTTCTAAGGTCCCTTCCAGCCTGAATACTTCTAATCTACGCTCTTACTGTTTTTTTCCCCTTTCTTTTTTCCTAGTGCCTTTGTGGATAATTCCATTATTTTTCCTTAATTTCCAGATTTAAAATTAAATCAGGTTTTGTTCACACCAAGCAACCTGTATTCCTCACCAAAAAGTCTAATCTAATTCTCATGGAGAAAAATGTACAATAAACTCTTAGATAAATGTTGGACTGCAATTCAATTGAGTGCCAGTACAGAAATAGCCTTGGGAGAAACAGAGAGAGCGAGAAAAAAAGAGCATTTCCTGGGATGCTCATCTTAATAAGTCTCCCTAGAAGGGCCATAACCATAATGGCTAAAAGACAATAAGAAGGGAACTGTAGACCATAAATACACAAGTTTCATTTGTGTACAGTAGGCCAGTGTTTTCTAATATGTGGTCAGTCAGTTGGAGGAATTTGCCCCAGGGAGGGGAGGTGGTTCAGACTGCAATGAGCTGTTATACATGATGGAAGAGACCAACAGATGATATGGTTAGTGTACCTGAGTCGAAGCCCTGCTTTGCTATAAAACATGCCTAAAAGCAAAATTTCAGAATTATGGTGCCTGAGGCAAAATCATTTGGGGCTGTGGTGGGGAATAGTCGCTCTGGGACTGTTTTTCCTGTGTTATCCCTCTCCCAGAACTGAATATACAACTTAGGACATCTCTTACCCTAGGGCAGGCTGGACACTTAAGTTCTTCCTCTCTGTTGGTATATCACAATTAGAGAATCCTTTCTTGACCTACTGCTCATCCTTGGTCTGTCTGTAAGCTGTATTGCTTCCTTCTCTAAGTGGAAGGGAGTCCAAAGAAATATTCCTTATCCAGAGATTTAAGGTTCCTCAAGGGCCCCTTTCCAAGGGCAGAATGCAGTGCAGGGAAACTGCACTTCTCCTTTCTGTTTGTCCCCAGGCTGCTTGAGAGATATATTGCCCTTTTGCCAAGGACCATACTTGCTCCGGAGATGAAATAACTCTCCCAAAGATGCCATTCCTGCCTGATCCTTATCCCAGGATGGACCTTCAGGGGACTTAGAATTTTCCCTTTTCTGGGTGGGAGAACAAGGGAACTGTTCCTGCATAACTCCACTGTAGTAAGCTTAACCTAGTTATGACTACCTAAAAGCATCTTTCTCTGCATGGAAAATAGTTATTGATTTTTATTTATCAATGTACATTGTGAAAATATTTACTTCATTTTTTAAGGATTCTCCAACACAATGACTGATATAGAGAAGCTTCATTCAATGGATCTTCAGTTGGCACTGATGATAGCCCTCTACCACTGAGAAATGCAATGCAAAAAAGCAAGGATAGTAAAGAATCAATTATTTTCATTGGACACCTGTAGCTTTCTTCTATGTCTTTACTAGTTTTTAACTGAAGATTAATTTAATACTTGGCAAAAGTTTCTCTTTAATGTTCCTCTAACATAATTTCATATATAAAAATGTTTCATAGAATAATAGAGCTAATATTAGAATGGGCCTTAGAAGCCATCTAGTCCAATATCCTCACATTATGTATAAGGATACCCAGGAAGTTCAAGTGAATAAGCCAAGGTAATAGTAAGCTGTAGAGGCAAGGTCTGAATCCAGGTTCTCTGACTTCATAGCCAACATTCCTTCTATCATACCATCCTACCTGCCATTATCATTCTTCAAAGGGGTTGTGATTTTGTCAGTGTCTTTTTTCACTCCCCAAAGCAGAAGAAAATATCTCTATGACTGAGTCTATGGCATTTGAGGGTTACAGTGGCTGAAAAATGTGGCACCCAATGGCCAAACTTGATGATGTGCATTTCCAAACTTAGGCTAGAATTTGGAGGCTAGACATTCAGTTTATTATTAGGCTTATTCTCAAAGGCTTAATAGCTCTGGTTGAGAAACTCCATCTACCAATGCAGATCAATTAACTTTTATTTGCTCTGCAACTTAGAGTCTTAGAAAGCTGTCTGGGGTACTGAGAGTTAAGTGACTTATCCAGTATTTCATAAATTGGACTTGAACTCATGTCTTCCTGTCTCTGAGGCAATTTCTCTATCCAATTGGACCATGATGTCATGGTCTGTCACTCTGTACACATGCATATGTGTGGCTTGTGTATATGTGTGTGTGTGTGTGTGTGTGTGTGAATGATAGAAGCCAGACTCCTTTAATCTGATTTATTACTATCCAATGATAACTGTATTAAAATTTCAGGTGATCCAAAGGACAATGGATTGATTTATAGAGGGTGTAATTAGGTTGAAGCATATTACCAACCAAAAATTGAGCACTAAAAGTTGCTTGAATGACATCACCAAAAAGATGAATGGTAGAAGAGGAAATGGATGGGTTTTGTAGTGACAATAAGGTATGACAGATGGACAGCCCATGTGTTCAACTGATATCCATGTAAAATTAAGAAACCTAGAGGAAGGTTTTCAGCATGTTGTGTGGACCTCTTCCCTTCCCATCTCCCCCTGCCCCACCAAGGGCTTATGGAAGCATATGGATAAAACCTGCAAAGGATAAGAATTTGTGGTGGATAGGTGATGTTTTGCAGTATTAAAGGGAGTGTCTGCATTGATGCAATCACACCTCTAATTATGACTGGACCAAATTAACTAGTCATTTAAGGAATACTGGCCACTTAATTTTTCATAAAGCAAACATGTATTTTCTAACAGTTTGAAGAATATTTTTCCCCTTCAAGGAGATCTGATGCTCTCCAGATCCCAGATAGTGCATCTGACCTGTTTCTATCATGCTGGTTTTCATTTTGTGAGTAACTCCTCCTTAATAAAGCTGGCTTGCTTTATCATCTTGTGACATCCATGTTTGCTTGTATTAGGCTTTTAGTATTCTGAATTTTCCTAAGTCTATATTAACACAGAAGGTGAGCTCAGCTTAAAATGTATCATGCAACTTTAAGGCTGAATGTGTATATATAACAGAGGCTGCCATCACATTGTAGTAGGGATCTGATGGCTATGGGAATTTTTTTTTTAATGGAAGGAGGAATAATTCAGGAAAAGGTTGGATTGGATGATGTTCTCAGTGCACCATAAAGAAAGAAGAGTTAGACAGGAATAATAATAACTTATTTTATGCTTTTGTAAAGAGTTTCAGCCTTTGCCTGGATTGTTGCTACTCTACTCATTAATTCATCAAACATTTATTATGCAACCATTTAATTATGTACTATGGAAGGACTGAAGTTCATATAGGGCATAATCCCTTGCACTCACATAATTTGCAGTCTTGAATGGGGATAAGATGTGAAGAAAGATAACTATGGTAAATACATGTGCTAAGTGCATTGGAGATTTACAAAACAAAACTCACAAGGGGTGAGGGAGGTGCTTGCGGAAACTGGGGAAGACCTTCAGAAGGGGAAGGTGACAATTAAATTGAGCTTTAATGGATGGGTAGAATTTCAGTAAGTGAAGATGGTGAAGAAGGACATTATAGGCAAAAAGAATAGTATGAGCAAAAGCACAGAGGTGCGAGGGTGAGGGCATATTTAGGCAGCCGAGTACAATTTGGTCTGACTAGCTCACAATGTGGAGAGGGGAGTAATATGAAATAATCCTGAAAGATGTAAGCAGCTGTCATTGTGAAGGTCTTGAATGTCAATGTCAAGAAGAATATGCACTTTTCCTGAGTAGGCAATCGAAGCCTTGGATGTTTTTTGATTGAGGAGTGACACATTCAGATGTGTAGAACAGGAAGTCTATCCTGGTAAGGGTACAAACAATGGATTGGGAGGCAGAGACAGAGAGTGGGAATGGGAACATCTATAAAGAAGATGCTAAAGACATTCCAGGTTGGTAGCATTGATGGCCTGTACTAGGTTGGTGAGAGATGCTATTGTAGAGAAAATAGGTATGACTTAGTAATTGACCAGATATGAGAGATGACAGAATTGGAATGATCAAAGATAATCTATTTTTTTTAATGGGAGACTGGAAAAATGGTGGTATCACAGAAAACAAGAGTGAAATAATAAAAAAGAACAGGGGTAGGGAAAAATATATGGTCAGAGGCAGCATGGAAAGTGGATAAAGAGCTGGGCTTAGAATCAGAAGGACCAGTGTCTAATTCCTATCTAAGGAACCTACTAGCTGCATTAACCTGATCAAGTCATTTTAACCTCTGCGTGAGTCAGGTAATTGTCTAGGATTTACACGCTTTGGTAGAAAAAGATGCCTATACAGGAGGTCTCAGGCTGAAAGAAATTACAGATCTTTGGTGGGTTGGCACTGGCATAAGTGGGCTAACCAGGGTAGTGGGGCTTATTGGCTAGTGAATATAGTTGGTATGGGGATATCCAGTGAAGTCCTGGGCTCAATAACTGAGTCCAATAGTATTTCTGTGGTGGTCTTAACCAATATTTTGTTGATTAGTTTTAGTTTGTGCCCTGTAACAGTGAAAAATAGGGTCAGACTAGTAAAGTAAGTTTAGATTATTAAGGGTCCTGAAAGTTAGGCAAAAGAGTTTGTACTTGATTGATTAAATAATGGAGAGCTTGTACAGGTTCTTCAGGACATCAGTGACAATGATGAAAGTGATATTTTAGGAAGATTTTGTTAGATATGGCATGCAGACAGGTATACAGACAGATATGTATAGGCAGAGACAATAGTTAAGTGGGCCAGTTAGGAAGCTGCTAAAATAATGGGACTCTGATGGACCAAAGTGGTAACACTGGGAATCATGAGAGTCATATCCCTATTACCAAATCCTTCTCCTGGTGTGTAAAGCCCACTTCCATACGGCTTCCAGTTGTCTCTCTGGTTTAATTTCAAATGACTTCCTTTGCAGACAGTCTATTATAATCAGACTGTGATACTTTACCTCCTCACTCTGTGCTTTTGGTCATGTTGTCCTTGATTTCTGGCATGGACTACTTCCTCAACTTCACTTTGTAGGATCCTTAGTTTCCTCAAAGCACAACTGAGGTAGTTTCTCCCTCCCACCTATCACTACCTCTTACTCTCTGTCTCTTGAAATTAGTACTTTGTAATGACTTCTTTCTGTGGATGTATTTCCCCAACAACCTGTAAGCTCTTTAATGACAGGGGCTCTTTTTAAAATCTTTGTGCCTTTCACAAAGCAAGCACTTAGTAAATTCTGTTAAATTAAATTGAAATGGAGAGATCTATCCATGGGATAGGATAAATCATATTTAAATAACACCTTAGTTTTTCCAAAAGTTCCTCTCAACAATCATGTGACATTGATAATATAGATATGATACTCATTTTATGTCAGGAAATTGAGACTGAGAAAAGTTAAGATCTTCACCTATGGCCACAAAGTATTATAAACTAGTTAAGATAGTATTTTAAAGTGATTGGTCAAAAGGGAGCAAGGGCTCTACTCACAGTTTCAGGGCTAAGAGGAGCGCTAGTGCTTGTAGCAGCAGGGAAACAGGGGCCTTTTCTGGGTATGGACCAGTGCACAAAACAGGACACCACTGACCACCCCTCTCTCTGGATCACACCATGTTGGAAGCACTGAAAACCTTTCAGACCCCCAGAATTAGCTCTGAAAACAGCAGTGTGGAAAAAGCCTGAAGCTTAGGACAGTACCTCCCCACTGTGAACAGAGCCCAACTTAAATATAAAGTTCAAAGTCAAGAAAAAGGCTGAAAAAGTGAGCAAACAACAACAAAAATAAAAGAACTTGACCATAAAAAGCTACTGTGGTGTCAGAGAAGACCAAGGCACAAACTCAGAAGAAGAGAATAAAGTGAAAACAGCCACAAGCAAAGCCTCAAAGAAAAATGCTAATTGGATATAAGGCAAATAAGAATGCTTGGATGAATTAAAGGAGAAGATAAGAGTGGTAGAGGAAAAATTGAGAAAATAAATGAGAATGGTACAAGAAATTTATGAAAAGAGAGTTAACAGCTTGCTAAAAGAGGCACAAAAATATTGAATAAAATAATGCTTTAAAAATAGAATTGACCTAATGGTAAAAGAAGCATAAAATTCACTGAAGAAAAGAACAAGCACAGTAGGCCAATTGTAAAAAGAGGCACAAAAATTTACCAAAGAAAAGAACTCCTAAAAAGCAAAATAAGTCAAATGGGAAAAGGGATACAAAACCTCACAAAGAAAATAATTTCTGAAAAATTAGAATTGGACGTGTGGGAGCTGATGACTCCATAAGACATCAAGAAACACTAACACAAAGTGAAGAAAAAAACAGAAAATAGAAGAAAATGAGAAATAGCTCATAAAAATATAACTGATCTGGAAAATGAGACTAGATATCATATTTCAAGGA